TTGCGCCCCCCAGCCCCCCTGCCTGCCCCACCCCATCGGCTGGGAGGCAGCTCACTAGGCCCAGGGGGGAGAGGACCCAGCGGCCCTTACAGAGCCGGCACACACCAGGAAGGGAGATACGGCCATTTACAGCCCGGGGTCGAAGCCCAGGACTTCCCCCAGCCTGCTCTGCAGGGATGAGAGGGGAGCTCAGCCCTTGCTGCTTCCAGAGGGTGGCTGAGCAGCGGCTGCTGGCTGGAGGGGGGGCCTGGGGCAGGCTGGAGACTCATCAAAGTGGTCACATGGGGCACAGCTTCCAGGAGCCCACCACGGCTGTACAGCTGAGTGCTGAGCTCTGGGGCTGCCACAGGGCTTTGGGGGGGGGGTGCTGAGCTGCAACCCCTGGGAGCTGCTGAGATCAGGTTGCCAACGCCCCCAGACCTGACTCCATTGCTGCATCTGGCGGCCGGTCCGTCCCGTCCGGGGCTGGCCGGCAGGATGTACCAAGTGCTCTGCTCACCCCGGACATTTCTCTTCTAATTGCCGGTGTTTAGAGCGGGGGGGGGCACTGACCAGCAGAAAAAAAAATCAGTCGGGGGCCACACAAAAATGAGAAGCAAAAACAACCCCTCACTGACATGCCCCCCCGCCCCCCGAGGAGAAAGACTCTTCCCACGTTCCCCTCCCACGTCAGAGCCTAGGTGCTGTTGAGTGCTCCAGCCCTGCGGGAGAGTGTGTGTGTGTATGGGGAGGGGGGCGTTTGGAGCACCAGTGCCAGCTCCCCAGTGCTGGAGGGGCCCCGGCCTCAGGGGCCGAATCCAGGCAAGCTGGCGGCTGCATCCGGCCCTCAGGCCTGAGGTTCCCCACCCCTGGTTTAGAGGGTGGTTGATTGTGAAGCAGAGAGGGAGGGGTTATATCTCCCTAGCATTTGACCTCATGGGCGCCTAGTAGCCAGGAGTTCCGCAGGCCCCTGGTGGCAGTTCTGGCACAGGCCCGGCATGGGGGCGGGGTGGGAATCCCATTTGAACCAGGCTGGTTTGTGGGATCCGTCAGAAAAAAATCCCCAAAGGGGAAACTTTCAAACTGATGGCAAAGTTCCCCCGAGGCACCCGGCCTCAGGCTCTCCCAGGCTCACTGGGCAACAGTGCCCGGCTGTGGGTTCTCCAGGAATCCTGGCAGCTCACAAGGGCCTGGACACCGTCTGTTGTGTGTTCTGCTCCTTAGGCAACAAACCCAGCACAAAGAAACCACCGGCCCAGCAACCATGTTACTACCACCACACAGCACGCACGGCCCCGTTACATGCGGGCGCACACGGGCACACGCACGCTGAGCCTCTGGCTGGATTCTACTACCTGGAACCCAGTGGGCACCACGCCAGGGCTCACTAATTATTGAAAGGGAAACTGCCCCATTCTGGTGCACGGCACAGTCCCACGGAGATGCTGTTTCCTGCCCACACCTGCAGGAAAGGGATCGAGCGCCAGCAGCTGCCTGGGGGCTTTGTTTGCATGTAAAGAAGCGAGCTGAGGCCCTACAAACTCATTCCTGGATTGGTCCTGCCTGGGGCAGGGGCAGGACTTGACTCCTGAGGTCTCTTCCAGCTCTACGATTCTGACGCCCCCGGGGGCTCTGTTCCCCTAAGTCTCTGGAGCTGGGCCGGGGGCTCCGCTGTGAGGCATGGCCTCCGCCTTCCCTTTGGCGGCCCTGCTGAGCGCGGCCCTGTGGTTTCCGTTCTGCAGAGACAGCGCTATTGTGCTGATCCAAGCAACAATTGCTGCTCCCTTCCATGGCATAAAAGCCACACGCCGCACGTTGAGCTCAGCCACGCGCCGAGGACACAGGAGATGGAGGGACCCTGCATTGCCCTGCTGGGGCTGCTGCTGGCATGTTCCACTCAGGCAGGTAAGCAAACTGCACACCTGTGCCCGCTCTGCCTCTCCGGCTGGGTCTGTGTCAGATCAACCTCGCCCTCCCTGCCCGCTCACCTGCCTTGCACCTGCTCTGGCCACAGTCAGCAGCCTCCAGATTGCCTGCTCCGGCTGAGAAGGGGGGGATGTGGGGGACTGCGCGCGCCATCACCTCTTCTGGCTCGGAGATCGCAGGGGCCGAGAGGACGGGTAGGCTCCAGGCGGCCCTTTGGGCACCATCTTCTGCTCACGTCAGGTGTCCCTGCGCTGACTCACCAGCCGGCGGGCGCCCGGCTATTTCCACCCCACGCGTCTCCCTGGGCAGCCGCGCTCATAATTTTACCCACAGTTCAAATTTAGCCCTGGCTTGCACCACTTTGCTGGCTTGAACGTGGCCTTCTCCCTGCTTGGCTGAGCCAGGTATGTTCCAGTCCAGGTCCCGCAGGTACGTTTCAGGTGTCCCTGCGCTGACTCACCAGCCGGCGGGCGCCCGGCTATTTCCACCCCACGCGTCTCCCTGGGCAGCCGCGCTCATAATTTTACCCACAGTTCAAATTTAGCCCTGGCTTGCACCACTTTGCTGGCTTGAACGTGGCCTTCTCCCTGCTTGGCTGAGCCAGGTATGTTCCAGTCCAGGTCCCGCAGGTACGTTCAGGTCTGGACAGTGCGACTCCCAACGTCGGGTTGCTCCCCCCCACCCGGTGCCAGCAGCTAAACTCTGTTCTCTCACCCCCC